TTGAACGTGAAGAGAAACGTTTTCAAACTTGGAAACAAAGTTGGAAAGTCCAGTGGATCGTTTTAAATTTTCTTTTTTGGAATGACTATGACCATTCACCAGCACATGCATAAAACATTCTTAGTTTCATATTTTCCTTGTATAGTTGCAGTAACTCTTCACAAAGAGATGGATATAATTTGTTTAGACAGGTTCTCTGATCCTGACGGCCTCCATCCCTGTAATTAACCGAGCCGGTGCTCTAAAGGTCCTTTGAATAATCACTCTGTAATTGTCCCGTTCAGCAGCACCTCTGCTGATTGACGGCTCGGACGCCTCATGCATGAGGGGATCCCATCTCAGTATAACAAGAAACAAATATTTTTCCCCAACATACGTCACATAAAACCAGTGGAAATATGAGTTTTTTTTACTCTGGCTGTTTCTGTAACTTCTTTCAAATACTTGAATAAGACAGAAAACACTGGTGAGAGGATTTTAAAATGAACAAAATCAACTATCTAACCGCAGTAAAGTTCAGCCTCTCCGCTACAGAAAGTCTTAATGGGCTTCACGTTTTCTTTTAAAATCACATTAAACTCCTTCATCCAAACAAATCAAAGAAAGTGAGAGGTGAGGCTTTGCTTCCAAATCTGGGTCCTTTTCTCTGTTTGGTCTGAAGATGAGGTTCTGTTTGCACAGCGTTAAGGATCTTAGGGATTCTGACTGGTTTCTGCTGCAATGACGCAGAGCCAAGCAGCCTGACATCACAGAGCGTAACATGAGGAAAACCTCAGGTGTAAACACAGAGGTTTGGTGGGAAAGGACAAGGTCAGAGTGTCGCTGAAACCGCAACCCTAAGGGGGCTCCACATGGCAGCCAGGAGGTCTGCCGTTCAGGAACAACCTGAAAACATAATGCCTAGACTAAATACCAGAAAAACCAAAAAGGAAATCAGCTCTGATGGACAGACGTCTGTAGAGGAGGAACACTGGGAAATAAAACCTCCTTCCAGGGGTTTCAGATCAGAAATTCCCAGCCATCCACGGCTCTCGGTCTTCAGCACAGGGCAACTTACTTCCTCTAAACTGGAGAAAACATGAGATTGTTAACCTAACTTTCTGAACCATAGTGATGATGCAGCAGATTAAGTTCTGCATATATCAAAAATCTGATGAATCACAGTCTGCTGAGAACGGTGCCGCCTGGAGCCACTCAGGTCTGACCCGTTTTACACACTGCAAAAACGATCAAGAAATAAGTAAATATGTCTTAAATTAATTGTATTCAGCCTTGATTTTAGTATGATTTGCAAATGGAACGGGTATTTTTACTCTTAAAATAAGATAATTAGATAATATGCACTTCAAATAAGACAATGCAATTGTTTTTTCTTATTCTAAATGTAAATTGTCTTTCTCCTCAATTCAAAATTGACTTATTTGAAGAAAAAAATACTAAATCAAGGTAGATCAGCTGCAGCTTTCAGGTGAATGCATGATGGTTCGATCCCACCTGCAGCCTGGAAACATGCCTATTCCTCTCAGCATAAATGTTTCTGAGCTTATGCTTCATTTTTCGTTAAGAAGGCTCCAGCTGAGTCAAACATCTTGTTCAGAGAAGCAAAGACATTTTCACTGCTGTTTGGATAAACAATCTGCAAACATCTTCAACATGTCTCCTCTTCTGCTGGAGGATCGTGTTGAGTTTCAGCATCAGAGGCAGAAGGGAGGGAAATAAACCTCTGACTTCTCAGGTGCATTAATATTAAAAACTCTTGTCTGCACAATACAGAAGAATCTCAGCCTGTTTCAACCCCTTCAATAATTCACCCTGTTCAATCTTTGCTCTCTCTGCATCTCCTCCTAAAGTCCTCAGTCCTCGGCGCTCAGAGAGGAGCTGAGCAGAGAGGAGGCACAGAGAGGCAGAAACTGGTTGCTGGTTTAGGAGGGAAGTTTCTGCTTCGGGGCCCGAAGAGCCTCATCAACTTCATCTTTATCTCTGTCTTTAAAGGGATTAGAAATATATCCTAATATATTAGAAATATATTCTGATTCTGAAATACATTGGCTATTGTGCAGAGCATAAAGAAATGTTTCTCTTTGATTTTCTACATATAATAGAGAAAAGAAGGCTGCTGTGATGATCGCAGCCCCGGTTGCTGATCTAATCACTCACTTCATTCACCTGCCGTTCCCTCGCCGTTCTCTGATTGTCATTCATCTTATTCACCTGCTCCCTCTGCTTTATGTTCGGTCCAGCACAGCTATCACGGCCAGATAGTTATTCTTAGGTTTTCATGTTAGTTATCCATGTTTCCTCTGTGTCGTTTAGTTTTTGTTTAGTCCTTGGTTCATGTTCCTGTCCATGGAGGCCAGTGGAGTGAGATTGTTTGGTGTCATGGTTTTGGTTCTGTTCAAGTTTTATCTCTGAGTTTATATTGGTTTTATTACCATTTTGTGTTATTCTAGTCATTTTTGATTGTATTTGACTTCTGAGGAATTTCTGGTTTGCCCTCTCGTGTCAGTCTCCTTTTTCCCTAGCTCCCTTCTTGCCTCCTCCATTCACATATGCTCCCAATCTGCTAATTAGCCTGGTCTTTGTTTCTCTCTCCGATATATTCTCCTCTGCTGGGTCCATTGTTGGCTGGTTTGTACTGTCAGGTTTGGTGGAGGTTTGACAGGACCAAAATGCAGAGACTGAAGCTGAAGTGATTTCTTGAAGATTTTCTTAAAAAAGGGCAACAGAAGCAAAAATCCAAAAATCTACAAAATCCACAAAAATGAGAACCAGGGATACTCACAACAAGGGGGCAAAGAAATGATGACAAACTAGCTAAGAGTGACTGAACAGAAGGAGAATATATGGGAGAGAGAAACAAACACCAGGCTAATTAGCAAATTGTGAGCATATGTGAATGGAGGAGGCAAGAAGGGAGCTAGAGAAAAGGAGACTGACACAGGAGCACAAACAAGAAATATCTAAGAGCTCCTATCCAATCAAAAATAAGTAGAAAACAAAATGGAAATAAGACCAATGAAAACCCAGATATAAAACTTGAACAGAACCAAAACCATGACAGTTTAGTGTTTGTCTCCTGTCTTCTGATGGTGTCCCGGCTCTTCTCCGCGGAGCCCCCAAGGTTTTCGGCTCGGCGTGTGGGAGAGGCCAGTTTTCATTCCTGTAATCCTGGCTCCTTGGAAGAATACAGTTTAAAGTTCTGCAGTTCTCCGGGTACCATGTCTTGTCTATGTCCCTCTCAACCACTGAGCCCGCCTGTCTCCATCTGAGCATATCTGTCTAAGCTCGCTGCTGCACTCATTGGAACTCTCAACCTGCCTGAATTCTCGGAGGATTCCTGGAACCCTGGATCTGTCTGTTCCTGTTTGGATCGGAACCCCTGGTCAGGCTACGGACTCCTTGATCTCAGAACAGTCCTGTTCTGAACTGTTTCCTTGACCTGGATCGGTCTCCTGTCTGCTCACTGGGGCTGCTGCATCGGAGACACTCTGGATGGCTCTACAGCAGCAGTCCATCAGCTGATCCTGACTCTCCCGAGGGGATGGACTGAACTGTTGAACAAGGTTTTTTTAAGTGACTCATACAGATAATCATCTTCTGTCAGATTAGCTTGGTCACTCATCTGTGTTTCTCCCTGAACCAGAGTGCCAGCGATGGGTTGTGCCCCACACCCCTCGCAGCAGAAATAAAGATAAAACATAGATGAGGGTCATAAAGCTGGAGCAGGACCTCAGAACACCATGAAAAGCCCATAAAGAACTATATATAATATAAAGAACTGAGACCTTTGTTTTTCTAGAGGAAGAAGACTGAGCATTTAAAGGAAAAGTCCACTCAGCAAGGATTAATCAATGGATCCTTATTTATTCCTGAAGCTGATACGTTCGCAATGATTTAATAAATTTAGCTTTTTAATCACGATCACTGAGTCTGGGAGCGGCCATTTTTGCCCAAATATAGTAGCCCCTCCCTCCTGCCATCTTCCAGCAGTGACGTCACGGTGCGGTAAGCCTAGCGCCATTCTCCCCGCTTTACAAGCTAAATCAATGGGAACTACTAGACACATCTGCAATCAACAACAATTATTGAAGATTTCCAGAGGACTTCACCATTGAAATTCACCAGAGCTATAGTGAAACTGACAATGCCCACGTGCATGGCAGCTGGATGCTGGAATACATCGGGTAAAAGTGAAAAAAAGAGTTATTCCACCTTTCTGATTCCTGATCCTCCACGGACGGGTTGGTCGTTGGATCGCCAACTTGAAGAGGGAGGATTTGCCATCGAACTTCTGGCCAGAGAAAAAACCCGTAATATGTAGCCAACATTTGGAAGAAGAATGTTTTCAAGATGACTTGGATAATAGCGCGTTGTGACAAACACCAGATACAGCACTGGGACTTGATCAACAGCCGATACCGCACCGTGACAATGTCACTAACCAGTAGGTGGCAGTAGTGTTCTTTGACAAACATGGATGCCTCCAGTAAAGCACATTCACATGAAATTTCAGATTTAAAGAACTTTCAGAAGTTTCTGGATATGAGCGGATTTTTCCTTTAAAGAAATTTTCTGAAGTCATTAAAATGATTAGTTCAGTTTTATGAAGTTTGTTTGTTTCTGAGTGTTTTTAATCAAAGTTTTAAATGTGTTTTTCTTATCAAGTTAAAGTGTTTGTATAAAGAGTGAACACATTCAGTCCCTGCTCAAACCTGGGAAGAAAATAAATTGATTTGCATTTCAGGAATTAAAGCTTCAGACTTTTTATTAGGTGAGGAACATTTGTTCAGATTTTTTCCTTTTAGTAACTGTGATGCCGCAGGGATTCGTGGAGTCTTTGCTGTGACGCACTGCCTCATCCACGCAGCATCACGGACAGGATGAGTGGATCCTCTGCGCGCAGCGCGCTCAGTCAGTCAGCTGCTGCTCCTGCCTCCCTGGAAGATCTGCAGATTTCAGGGAATCTAGGCTGCTCTCAGCTTTTATTTAGGGCAGAGGAATCAGTTCATCTCTGAAGAACATCCTCTTCCTCCACAGACGCGCTTTCCGAGGTGACTTTGGAGACTTGTTGGAGTTTCTGCGTCTGTTTCCCTCAGATCTCCTCAAACTGTGGAGAAAAGATCTAGTTTCTTGTTTGGTTCCTCCTCCTGCTCCTCCTGCTGAAAGCTGAGCTCCTTCCGCCAGATGTGCGCCCTGGACGCAGGGAAGCCATGAGACCACCCAAAAACTAAAGTGATGGGTAAGATCAGTTTCTACAGGCTTCAGGTATACAGACATCAAACATCGCGATATTTAATGCGGAAAAAACGCTGAAATGACATAAAATGGAGAAAAATCAGAAAGAGGAGTCTGCATGGAAATGTTTGATTTATTTGACAGTGTAGTGACTATTTGTACAAAAATAAAATTCCAAAATAAAAACATTTAAAGGTGATCAAAGCCCAAGGTGAATTTAACTAATAGTCACCTGATGCACCTGGATTCTGACTCAGACCAAAAAGATCAAAAAGGGTCAAAATCCAGTTCTTTGCTTGTTTTATTCTCAGTTCAGAGGTTTTCACAGGATTCTTCTATTTCTCTCACTCTGATTCCTGCACCTGTTCTTTGATTGACTGACTGATTGATTGATTGATTGATTGATTGATTGATTGACTGACTGTGACTGAAAACTGGTAAAAAACCATAGGACCACCCACCTGCATAATGAGCCATGACCTGCCTATTTATACTGTGGAACACCCACATCCTAAGCTAAAAGTAATTAACTAATTAAGGGAATCAACCTATTCTAAATAACTAATCAAATTAAATAAAAATAAATTCTAAGATTTAACTAAAAATTACTTCAGGTTCGATCAGCTCAGATAAAACCAAATAAAGATTGAATTTGTTTTTTTGCATGTTTTGGGTTTTATCAGTTAGATAAAAAAAAATAAAACGGTTTATTTTACCTGTTGTTAGTAAAAAGACAATAAAAACCTGAAGAATTCATCATTTACCTGCTGAAAACCAATTAAAAAGCCTCATCAACCTCACCATAGAGCAGCTCTATGGTGAGGTTGCATATATGAAGACCTGCAGGACATTTCACTGAATACTAGTTTGCTCTTCAGCGGAAATGACAGCAGGTAATTGAATCATCAGCTTGTTCGAATCTATAAACTGAAAAAGTAAATAAATCAGGTTTATAAGGGATGGATTAATGGAATTAACAATATCAATTTGCTGAAATAAAAGGTACAAAAGCTATAAAATGCTTATGTTGGACATTAAACATGAGTTTTTAAATGATTAAGTCCAGAATGAATCAAGATATGCAAGAAAGAAAAAAGGTAGGGAAAGTGGCGTAGAAAAAATAAATTTCATAATAAAAGCCAGTAGCCTGTGGATTGCACAGCTCCATAATTCTCTGCATGTCTCCTACCTGCATTTGGGCTTGGAGATATTTCACCACGGACTTTTGTTTTAAAAAGGATGTTTCCCAATGTCTTCTGGTGCTACGGTAGCTGCACACCTGATTTCCTCTCTTTAACACAAGAGGCTAACCACTGTTTTCACTGTATCCAGGGGCGGATTTAGGAAATGTGGGGCCCTAGGCAACTGCCTAGTATTGCCTAATGGTGAATCCGCCCCTGGCTGTATCCATAGATGCAATCCCACCTGCTGCCAGTGTTGTTTATGCTCTGCGTTGGTGGCAACATGATTTCCTGAAGCCATCTTCTCTGCTTCTGAATCACTCATCTTAAAGTTCTTGATCCAAAACAAACTTTTCTTTGCTTTCATCAAATTCCCACTGACGCATGTTATTTTCTTGGACTAGAATGTTTCTGTTATTGAAATGTTATTTAAATCCTCCCCTAGTTATGTATTTTATGGCTCAATAGCACAAAGGCTTCAATTAAAGAAGACATCTGGAACCAGAAACAGGAAGTATGACCGGAGGAATGGGGGGAATTAGTCCAAATGATTTGTCTCCTGCATTTCTGGCCTACTTTTAGAAACATTGAAGCAACGTTAGATATGAGCCACTCCTCATTTCCATGAGCAGGGGAGCATCCAACTGCAGAGGACAAAAACTCAAAGGCCTGCAGGGGAAACTATCAGAAAATAAGCAGCTGCTGATTCCCTTTTGTTCTCTTAATTTATCCACAAAACCAGATGAATTAATTCAGGTTTGGCTAAAAAATCTTTTGCATTAAACATGTGATGGAGAAACGGAGAGCAAAACGTCTCTGTTATGTAACCTAGACTGCTTCACTTGTTTAGGCACAGAGCTGCACTCAGATCTCATTTCATTTCAATAATGCTTTTAAATGGACATTTTATTATTTTTTTCTTTGTGTGTCACCAGTGAGGTTATTCTAACTTGTTCTGTTTTATTCCTTCGCTTTCCTGTTTTTTTTTATAGTAATCTGCTTTCACCAAACCTGCTGTTTCTCTGTCATTATGTCCAGTTTTTTCAATTTAACTTGCATGTTCTCTGAGCCATAACAAGGCTTTTGTTGGGCTACTCTATAAAAGCCTGGAACTCAATGTTAATTAAGACATTTTGAATTGATAAAGCTTCTGGATGGGAAACAAAACTTCAAACTTGGAAAACAAAAGTCCAGTGGATTGTTTTTTTTTAGCTTTTTTAACTTTTTTGGCATGAATATTATAAGCAAAGCTGTGCAGTGAGTTGAAATTCATCTTAGTTTAATCAACTCTGGAAGGAAATGGTAGGTTACCAGAAAGTAACAAGATATACAGAGTTAATCCTTATGTTCCTTGAAAGTGTCTGGGAAGTACTGGGTAGATTGACAGCAAGTAACCAATAAGATCTCAGGAAATTAACCACAAAGTTCCATCGAAAGGCTTCTGCAAAGTAGCTTGACAAAAAGACATGAGTAAGGATTAAGGAGACAGCCACTAAGTCCCATGAACATTTCTAGAAAGTACCTGGTAGGTTAACAGAAAGTAGTTAGTAAGAACTAAATAGGGAACCAATAAGTTCCGTAAACATTTCCTGAAAATGACTGGTAGGTTAATTGAAATTAACCATTACATAATAAGGAGATAACCACCGAGTTCCATTAAAGTTCTGGGAAGTAGCTGGTAGGTTAGCCAAAAGTAACAAGTAAGATCTAAGGAGGTAAAGGTTTCAGGAAATAACCTGGTGAGTTCCATCATGCATGTCAGAAATGTCTAAAGGATTTCTAGTAAGTACCTGAGAAAAAAAAAAAAAAAAGGCAAACTTGGTAGCATGTTCAAAGCAAACTAACCAGATAAAAATTGAATTGAGTAGAAAAATAAGCGGAAAATCCGTGTATAGTTTGTTCTTTGGTTTTTTTCGTTTCAAAACAAAAAGGAAAAAACAAAACAAGCATGTGGTTTTTCTGTTTTTCCGTTTTTAAAACCTAAATTGAAAAAATGAAAAATCGAATTAATAGAAAATCAACAGCGTTTGAGTTTTGTTTTGCCATCAAAATGAAAATAAAATACGGTTGTTGTTTTAATATGTAGCGGTACCGGAAATGAAGTAAGTCGCCAAAGAAAAATCATTGACAGTGGATAAAGACGGCATCAAAACAAACCATTTCTAAACAAAAGGCAATGGCGGCACTTGAACCGTTTTCTGCGCTGATTATCAAACTTTTTGAGAGAGGAAAAACACTCTGAAAGCAGTGATGCTTCGAGCCGCCATGGAGCTCCACATTACTCGTTTCCATTTTGGTAATGCTAACTGAAACAGTTCTTCTTCTTGTCGATTGGCAAGAAATTGAAGACGTACATTACTGCCACCTACTGGTAACTAAAAAAGTTATGTGTTGGGAGTTCAGGTCTTCATTTCCGGTTCTGCCATAAGGTCCGTTGAATTAAAGGCACACTATGCCACATTTTTCAGTTAACTAATGTGTTCCATAACGTTTTGGATGATTAAATGAGTCATTTC